CGCTGCGTGGGCCTCACCTTTGCATGCCACCTTGGCGGCCCAGGTAGGCTGTTCAGTGGGAGTAAGATTTCGTGGGCCTAGAGGAGGTCCTTGCTGTTTGGTGGTCTTGGCAGCAACCGGGCTGGTTGCTGGGGTGGGTGCTTGCTGCTGGGCTTGCTTTCGTCGGCGACGGCACTGACGACGACGGCGCACCAGGTAAGGCAGCTGGTAGCGATGTCGGCATTCGCGGTCGCCCGTGAAGTGTGCTTCACCACATAAGGCACACACTGGCTGGTTGCACACGTGTGGATTGTCCGTTGGTAAGTGACCGCAGTGGTCGCAGACCTTGGTTGAAGGAGTGGGGCACACGTCTTGGCGATGGCCCACTTGGCTGCAGGTACGGCAGGTGTCTATTTGGCGCTTATACAACGTGCAGCGGTAGATGACCTGGCCGCAGTAGACGTAGTTGGGCACTTTAAGCCCGTTGAAGATCAGAATCACAGTTCCAGTGTTCTTGATGCGACGCGCTCCCAGTAGGCTTGAGTTGCGCTGTTGGATTAGCATGCGGTTGAGTGCTGCGTCGTCAAAGTCAGTGTCGACGCCGCGAATCACGCCTCGGCTCGTGATACCGGCAGGTGAGAGGTAGGCCGTAACCGGGTGTCTCTGGTCGGTGAGGATGATCTCTGTTACTCGGCTGTACGCTGCTGCATTAGTAGCGCTGGGCGTACTGACGACAAAAATGTTTTGCATCGAGTTGGGACAAATAATGTCCTCCTCCGTTACCGACGACGCTAGCTGAGCTGCCATGGTTAGTGCGGCGAGAATCCTGTGCGGGCTGCAGGCTTGCACGTTGAGGCCGCCTCCCGGTCGCACGATGAGTCGATTGTGACTACGTGGCATCGCCGGCAGTCGGCTCGCAGCTGCGACGCGTCGTAGAGTAGCATTCGGCGTCGCTGTCGCGCCTCGTTGCGTTCCAGACTGGCGGGCTGCGTGTGACTTCGCTCGCGATTCTTGCCGTCTTTTTAGAACGGAGAACCATCCGTTTCCTTGTAATTCCTCAGGGGTGACGTCGTCCCCTTCCATGGCAATCTGCTGCGGCATATCGCAGCTGACGTGCGAGCGCCGTAGGCGGGGAGGCTGGCCTAACCTCGCCTAGGCTTAGCTCGCTGGTGCAGCGAAAAGGCCTCTAAAATGATGAAAAACAAGCCCACCTTGGTGAACTAGGTGTCGAAATGTTCAGGTGAACTTCGCGGAAGAGGGTCCGTGCAGCTCAGGAAGATTCGAGGCCGTTGACCGGTCAGAATCGGCATTAGCAGCGGAGCGCGATAGGTGTGCATCCGCACACCAGTCTGAGAGACGCTAGCTCCTCTGTGTGAAGGAAGTTCAGAAAGGATGTGTACGCAGGCGAAGGGCGTTTGAACGAAGTGACGCCACTTGAAGTGGAGCACTGTGTTTTAACTACTTTCTCACGGTCGCGTAAGCACGTTCTTTGCTGTCCGCCACAGTGGTGTACCGGTGCTGGGCCCCTGACCCGAAGGTCGCGAGTTCGATGCCAGGGGGATAATGAAAAAAAGAATGCAAGTTTAAGATTTTAAAGCAAACTGTATTAAAAGGAAAGATTACATGTCGTCTTCTGCTGCCTCGCGATCCGTCCCAGTTTGTGCCTCGAAGCTAACTGCCTTGCCAGGCGGCTTCGGCCTCACTCCACGGTCGAGAGGGGGCTTTCTTCACCCCATGGGGGGCCACACCACTACCACGAAAGAGAAGTAATTTAACAGGTGAATTGCAATTCAGCACAAATATTGACAACATATATTTAAAGTACCACAACTTATGGCAGTCGTGGTATAAAAGCAATTAAGTTGAGTGAGACATCTAGACATGTTCTTAGATGACACGTGTCTCACGATTATCGTGTTTGCACCAGTCAAATACTTTCTTCATGCATTCACGTCCAGTAATACTAAATTCTTTATATGTGAACCTAACAAAACGGCCACAAGTGCACCATTAGCGTGACGTGTAGTCATGACTTACATGACGTGCGTGTGATATTTTGCACTTTAGGGTTTTTCACTTATGCTCGCCATGTATTCATGTCATACCATACTAGTTTTGCAATATTTCATGTGAATGAAACCAACACAACAGCAGTAAGAGCATGAAATGTAAATCATGACATTTATGAGATACGTATAACGATTTTCATATTATGACTAGTCCATTATGCTCGTCATGCAGTCATGTTACGCCATACCAATTTTGGTATTGATACCACTATGGAAACGGCCAGGAGAGCTAAAAGTTGTAGGCAGATAGATAGATAGATATATAGATAGATAGATAGATAGATAGATAGATAGATAGATAGATAGATAGATAGATAGATAGATAGGATAGATATATAGATAGATAGATAGATAGATAGATAGATAGATAGATAGATAGATAGATAGATAGATAGATAGATAGATAGATAGATAGATAGATAGATAACGACCGCAACAACAAAGAAAAACACATACACAAGACGGATGCTCACTTGCAACTGTGTATTCATTGATGAAATAAGTAATATAAACCCACTTCTCGTCAACTCTATCGCAACGTGCTCGGGCCACTGTTTACCTAAAAACGCTATAGGACACATGTACTCCATAGATATCTTGCCTCCGACTAGTACGGGATGAGCAGGGATGGCACTGATTTTCGGGTGAAATTTGCCAAAAGACAACCTGATGCCAAGCGTCACCATTTTTCTTCAGATTTCGGCAAAGAGTCGTCACTGTTTGATATGTGTGTCCTGCCTATAAAGTGATAAAAATTATGTACTATGCAGTGTTCCTGCATATTTAAAGAACTTTGCTGCAGTGGTGCGACAATCGAAGAATATAATTACAAAGCAACAGAAATGCATTCGAAAGTACTGCGTAACCGGCCCGCACATCGCTTTGTGTGTGGTCATGCTTACGCTATGCATTTGCCTCACTGTAGTTTCTGTATGCTGTCCTTAAAACCCCGACCTCTTGTCCCACACGAAAAGTATGTTAATAAAAAATTTAAACTCAAGATACCAAATTAGGGGTACTATAGTACTGCAAAAGTCGACAAGCTATTCACGACTATTGGAGCTGCGCGAGAAACACGTGGCCTGACTGCCACTTGGCCATTTCAAACGCGATGCCTAAAGCTTTTTTTTTAAAAGCACCCAAACGTAGTATACCACCAATGCTTCGTGACATGCGAAGCAGTCCACGGACCCCTATTGCTCGTAAGTTGCTGGCGGACTCACCGACGTGCCTGGGCCTCCAACATCTAACTGAATTAGAAGATGGATGCCAGAAACAGCGCAGACGTACTGAATTGTGCGTAAAGAGCGCCTTCTACGGTGGGTGTAAAACCGAGAAATATAGAAAAAAAATGATCTCGCACATTTGCTTTGGAGACACTGAATACACAGTGCATAACTCAGTCAATTCATGAGCTGAAAATCGCCGAAAACTAGCGATGTCACCATTCATAATGTTAGGTCGCCAAGGGCCTCTCAAATTCACCAATCCAGCGAAAAGTATATCCACCACAGGCAACCGTAACGATAAAGGAAATTTTGCTAACGCAAAAGGCCTCCAAAATTTCTCGTGCTACGTTGCTTTAACCCAATGAGCTGCATCTGCAGGAACGAGGGGGGGGGGGGGGGGGGGGGTATCGGTTGCAGAATTTTTGTGGTCATATTGAAGGTCGTGCGTAATGCTACAACGAGAAGCCCGAATAGAATAGCGGCCAAGCTATCAAAGTGCTAAGCTCAATTTCCGGCTACGGTGGCCTCATTCAGATGGGACGAAACATTAGAAAAAGCCATGTACTTTAATGTACGTTTGGAATTTTTTGGTCGTGTTGGTAAATGGAACACGAAAACATAATCAGCGCCAGCAGACAAGGACGTAAGAGAGCCGACACCACGATGCATTGTTTGGTGTGTGGTTTCGCACCGTTTTACGGTTCTTGCGCGGTTCTGGCGAAGCACACAGGTAAAGACGTGAACGATATTAAAGCCCAAGCTATCTCTCGCAATAGTGACATTTGTGTGAGCGTTCCATAAAGTGACCTTTTAGGCAGAGAGAACTTTTCTGGTTGGCTAGTATGTGGACTGGTAGCGCCACTGCGCGGATAAGTAGTCTGTTGTTTTCTGGAAATACAATTGTGGACTTTCTGTTACGGCCCTGTTTGCTGGCGCTGAATAAGTTTTCGACTTCTATGTAGGTCCACTTTAACGAACTCTAGCTGTTGAAATTAATCTGGAGCTTTCCACGACAGCACATCGCATAATCACGCCATCGCTGCGGCTTTTCCAACGCCAGATTTTTTTTTTCTACAGACAGATTGACTTGTCACTTGTTACTACAAGAAACGTTTACAAAGAGATCGGTGAGAACCAGTTAGTTCTCATTTAGAACGGAGGATTTAACCGCAGGGTTAAGACAAGTGCCGCAAGAAACAAATATTGAATAAAAAGCTTCCGTTCCTAAGTTTTGTTTGCAAAGAGAGGCACGGGCATCCGGAGGAGGATGCAAAGGGAGAGGGACGGGGGTGATTAAGCCTTCTTAAAATTTGTAATAACGCTTTCTCTATGAAGTAGCAATCTAATAAAAAAGCTTTGTTAGCCCACGCCTCATATCCACGTGAAAAGGCCCTCAGTATTGCCAGCCAAATTTGCTCGTTACACTCTATTGACTGGTCTTGCCGATTCAGGTCCAGGCAGTGAAAGACAGGCTTCCTCTTCAGGCTCCCCCACCCGGTGAATGGTTCTGCGCACTCACCTGAGGACAAAATATATACAGTGAACACCCGACAACCGTGAAAGCTCCACTCGCACTCGATAGATGGCGCCCCATGTAGTGGTGCCAGCCCCCTGGCGAGGGTAAAAGGCGGCAACGCGTTCGGCCAATGGGCGACGGTCTCCTGGGCCGCGCTCCTTTCAGACGCTCAGGAATGCGGTTGGCGGTGCACAAGCGCTCCGGCTTGGTTGCAACGCGCACGTTAGTGCGTATCTGCGTGCGTCTGTCAACGACCCGGGCCTCCGTGCTACTGTCGGGGATGTGACCTCAAACGGCGCCGAACGACTGTGCAACTGGTTGTCGCTATACGACGCGCCTGTGATCTCAGCCGCCGTTGTGTGTGTGTGTGTGTGCGCGCGTGCGTGTATGTGTGCAAATTTCGCCCTTGTGTGAAGCGGTGACTCGTGAGAACCTGTGTGCCGGGGCTCGGGAGGATTACGCCTTTCGTGAAGAACGGTCGGTGTGCACACGCGGCCCGCGCAATGCTTTCTGTGCAGATTTGCGGCCCATGACAGTGCTGTGGACTACGCGCAGAGGGGCAGCCTCCTTCATATGGTGAGTCTGGAATACGCGTTGGTACTGAGTTTGCTAATGCTACGCGAGACCTCCCGGGACCATTGAAGACACACCGCGGACGGCGACATGGCCAGTTTTCCTGAAAAAAAAAAAAAAAACAAACAAAGACACGCTAGGTGATGAGCACTTGAACGTAAGTTTTGACAGCAGCAGGAAAACATAGTGGCCAAAAAGTTATTCATTTTAAGCATGTCGACAGCTTTTGCATATCGTCTCGATCGTCATCGTGGAAGCCGCACGCAATATCGCTCAATTCATCCCCGCGGCCTCTCAACGATTGGAAAATTGGCATCACCCGGCCGCACGTGGTTTTCAAAAAGCTAGTCTCTACGGTATCCACATTTTTTACATGGACATTTGCTCAGACACTTTCTAAAAGTTGCTGCCTCGTTGCCGGCGAGTAAAAATGTTGTGTGCTCGGAGTATACTATTTTTTATTTATTTATGCCATACCCACAGCGCCACATGGCATGACAGTGGAGGGGGAGCAAAAAAAAATTCAAAGCTTACTGTTGGTAGCAATCGCTAGCAGCAATAGCAGCATCACGAAAACAAATACACATACAAGAAGATCATGAGTGTACACTAATGGGCGCCATAGTGAATAATTGTGCAAACAAAATAAAAAAAACAAGATTGCAAATAAACAAGAATGCAATAATTAATTTAACAATGAAGTGTGTTATAGTAATAAAAGCATATTTACATGAACAAGAATGCACAATAAAGGAAAATACAATTACAAGCATACAGCAGTCATCACTAGCAGTAACATGGGTGAACAGCAACTCTAATACAAGAAGAATTATTTTAGCAGTGCAAAAAATACGTCATTGGACGATATAGTTGCAACAGACTTGTCTAATTGATTCCAGCCCCGTATTGTTCTAGGAAAACAAGACTTGCTGAAGGAATGTGTTTTGCAGGGAAATTCCATAACCTTATTCTCATGGTCAACCCTATGGGAATAGTATTTAGGTGCCTTTATGTAAAGATGCCTATCAATGCCATCTTTTGAATAAAAGATGTTGTGAAAAAACTTCAAGCGAAGTCTGCGTCTTCGCCAATCTAATGTATCCCATTGCAATAATTCTTTCGCGAGCGTAGGACTGAACTCTCTGTCGTAACGTCCATAAACAAATCGAGGGGCCAAGTTCTGCACCCTTTCAAGTTTTTCTGTGTCACACACCGTAGAGCGGTCCCAAACGACACACGCATATTCAAGAACGGAACGCACATGTGTTTTATAAAGCAATTCCTTAGTCGACATATTAAAGTTCTTCGCGTTACGGCGAAGGAATCCAAGCGTTCTCCCGGCCTCGCCTGTTACGTAGTCAACATGTCGCTGCCGATTTAAGTTAGACGATAAGTACACTCCTAAGTATTTGTATTCATTGACCTTACTTATAATGACATTTTTTATTGTGTAAGATGTCTGAGACTGTAATTTCTTACGAGTGAACTCCATATAAACTGTCTTATTCAAGTTCAACTGCATGTGCCATCGTGTACACCAATCACTGAGTTTGGCCAAGTCTGTGTGAATGAACGCTCTGTCCCACGAATCCGTAATTTCCCTATACAAAACACAGTCGTCTGTGAAAAACCGTATGTGGGATTCTACGCCCTCAGTTATGTCGTTGACGTAAATCAGAAATAAAAGTGATCCCAGTACCAACCCTTGGGGACTTCCAATGATACCTGCGATGCGCACGAACTGGCACCATTACCGATTACAGTCTGCTGGCGTAATGTCACATAATCAGCGACCCATGCGACGACTTGTGAATTAATGCCGTACATAGTCCGTTTCTCAAGAAGTAAACAGTGTGGGACAGTATCAAAGTCCTTCTTGAAGTCTAAAAAAATGCAGTCAATTGTTTTTCTTTTGTCTATCGCGTATGCTATGTCGTGCGTAAATTCTGTCAATTCGGTAGTACAAGAAAAACCTCTTCGAAACTCTTGATGCTGTGGCGTAAATAGTGAATACTTATTCATGTGTTCAACAATGGAGGTATATATTAGGTGTTCAAGAATTTGACATGCCACACTAGTCAGCGATATTGGTCGGTAATTAGAGACGTCACTCCGTGAACCAGACTTATGTATTGCGACAATCAATGCTTTTTTCTTATCTGAAGGAAGGTTGGCATCTAGAAGTGATTTATCAAATAGCACCTTTAAAAACTGTGCTAGTGTTGGCGCACAAAACTTAAGAAATGCGTTTGTGAGGCCATCTGGACCGCACCCTTTTGAGCTGTCTAATCTTTGCAACAACACTTGATTGCCGTGCCTGCTGATGTAAATATCCTCCATATTATCAGTTCGTATTTGATTTGAGTGGTGATCACCATCTCCGGTTGCCATCAGCGGCATAAAAACAGAACTGAAATAATGATTGAGGGATTCAGCTTTATCAATGTCGTCATGGAACACGTCATGACCAGAAATAAGCTTTGGTATCGAATCATCGTCTTTACCATTTCTTTTGACATGTTTCCAGAACTCTTTTGGTTTACCTTTGAGAAGGCATTGCAAAGATTCAGTGTATTCACGTTTTGCTTTAAAGGTGCACGTCTAAACTTCAAGTGCTACATTTTTCAGTCGTGACTTATTGATATCGGTCGGGGTATCAGAAAAAGTACGGTAACATCTCAACCGTTTTTCTGTAAGTCTGCGCAGTTATTTCGTGAACCATGGCTTACTTTTCGCTTTCCTAGCCGTTAAGTGCCACCTTGGAACGAACGCATCACGTAATTCAGTTATTTTGTTTTTCAAAAGAATCTACAACTCACTGACGTGCAGTTGTTCCGCAAGGGTCCCAAATACAGCAAAGTAATTATCCAGAGACTCATTTATTTTTTCAACATTAGCTTTAGAATAATTGTATACGCGCCTTTGGTCGCACACTGATGTTTTAACGTAATGTACATTCATTTCACATAGCACGGCATCGTGATCACTAATCCCGGGCAGGACGTGAGTGGCAGTTACGAAGCTGAGTTGGTATGTAAAAATTAAATCAAGGATATTATTCTCCCGTGCGGGCTGTAGTACCGTTTGGTGTAGTGCATGCAGATTTGCGTATTAATCATCTCTTGAGCAGATGCCCCAGATGGCGATATTGTGGTTGAGTGCTCATGCCAGTGAATGTTTGACAAGTTAAAATCCCCCCCCCCCCCCCTGATACTCAAGAAGTCCGAATGCACCTCATCAACGGCACTTGCAAGCTGTGATATCACCTCTGTGGGAGAATCGAGTGCACGATAACAACTACAAACAGTTAATAGCTTCTTATTTGCCAGCTCGAGTTGACACCAAACAGCTTCAAATGTTCCGACGGCAACGTCAAGGTTGGAAGCCACTATGTCACTTTTAACTAAAATAAATACACCATCACCATGGCCATTCCTATCGCTACGGTTGCGCGTATAGTCTACCGGAAACACCTCGTCATCACGTGTTTCATCATCTATAGATTCAGTTCCAAGCACCACAGACGGCTCGGACATCCGAAGAAATGCACAAAATTCATCCACTTTGTTTTAATGCTTCTGCAGTTAATTACCAGGAAGGAAAGTTTCACTCCTGCAGATTGACGAGGTCATTGCAGTGCTAGAACTTGCTGTTTCTCTGTGTCGTAACCATATTTTTTTTACCATTCAGTATCAGTGTCATATTTCAGTAACACCTTTTCACCTTTCTTTTTGTGCGTTTTTGCGTAATCACTCAGTATTTTTCTTTTCTGACGTACCTGCTCAAAAAATCTTCAGAGACAGTAATTGTCGAGCCTTTCAGTTTACTAACGTTATGGAGAACGTCTTGCTTTCGCTTAAAATGCAAAAGCTTGGCTATTAACGGTCTATTTCTGCCAGCTTGGAATTTACCGAGTCGGCGCGCACGTTCTATAGTTAAGAGAATGAATACCCAACTTGGAGCTACATATCTGGGTTATGTGCTTCTCCGATTCTTTACTTGTTTCGTTAGCTTCGTTATCTTTTACACCATTATTAGCTGAATACTTCGCATGAGTGCGCCCATTGAATACATGCATGTGGTAGGCCCGATGCTAGTGCTGTCCACAGCACGCGTATCTCACGTTCCGTGTAACCCAATCAGATACCGAGTCATTACAAATGCGGAAATGAGGCGACAGGAAAATGCGCTACTATTTATTGTAGACGCGCCAGTCGACATGCATACACCCAGTCGCACATGTCACGAATAATGATATTTGGGGTTTGAAATACCAAAGCTACGGTGTGAATAGGAGAGGTGCCGGTAATGCGACCATCTGGTGTTCTTTAGCGTGCACTCTGTACACGGGTATTTTCGCCTCCATTTAAAATGCTTGCGGGGTCGAACTCACGACCTTTGGTCGAGCACCGTAACCACTGATAGATCGTGACACATCACGTAAACTTCGCCGAAATCCACGTTGCATACTTCAGATGCGCTCTGCATGAAATCATATTCACGACAACGCTGGCGTTGCCAATCCCTTGCGGATGTGAAGTTCTTAGGCGTAATACTAGACAAGCATTTGAAATATAACTATCATGTACTCTCAATATTAAAGAAAGCTTCTTTTGGCATTCATGTTCTCATTAAAGCGCGCCCTTATTTTCAGTCACGCATTATTTTATCACTATACTATGCATATATTCAGAGCCATCTTTCCTATTGCATTTCATCCTGGGGTAATACATATGCCAGTCACCTGGAGCCCCTTGTACATCTTCAGAAACGGGCACTACGTCTCATCGCCTTTGCTCCATTTCAATCGCCTTCTACGCCACTCTTTATTTATTTTTCCGTGCTTCCAATTAATCTTTTATTCACTCTAAAGTTAGCTATATTGATGTACCGCCTCATTTATCATGGTCTATGTGTTTCAGGGCTATCCACACAACATCTTGTCAATACTAATAACACCAGGTTTTCAGCCTGTCACAATTTCTTTCTCCCTAAAGTGCGTA